GTATTCTCGAAAACGTGCTGTTGCGCTCGCATTGCTCATTCCGGGACGGATCCTCGAAGCCAGGAGCGGAGACTCGCGCAGCTTTTGAAGCCCTTCAAAAGCACCGACAAACCTCCGACGTCATTCGGCGGCCTCGTTCTCAAGGGTCTTTTTACTGGATCGCTCCTCATGATTGCGCCATTGTTGACGGTCGGTCGGTCGGCCGTCTGTCTGGCGATGTTGTACCAAGCGAAGCATAGCGTTCTCCGAGTTGCGTAGCGGCCTTTCAGAGTTCAAATCTCTCCATAAGTCCGTTGCGGTCGACCTTGCGGCTTACCAGCTGGCAGACCTGGCAGCGAGCGAGCCAAGTAACGCCTTCGTTCCCGCCACCGCTCGGAGGCCCTCTGGCACGGAACACATACAAGTATACGTGGCTACGGACGTGGTTCTTAAAGCAACGTGCATTGTTTTTCTTACTTCGTATTCGCTCGGCAGGAAGTTGTTTTCGTCTGCAATGCTCCGTTCACTCAGGCAGGCAGTCAGTCAGACCTCAGTCGGAACTCCCGGTCAGAGCAGCGGGTGAGCGCATAGACAAACGGACGGACGAACACTCGGTTGGTTTGTAAATTGCCGTTTCCACATTGCGAGCGAGGGAGAACAGCAGAGGTCAAGGCTTGAGTGCTTTCGATCTAATCCATGAACTCCGCTCTCGTACTCGGTCCGTCTGACCTTCTCGAACAAGCGCCGGAGCCTCTGTGATCATTACGGCATTCCTCCGCGCATTACGCGGTCTTGCACTCGCTCTTCTTATTCCCTATCGGATCGACATTTCTTTGTTCCATTTCCTCATCCGAATCCTTTCCCCGCCGCGTCGTCTGCTCTCCGTCACTTCCATCGCGAACGAGAAGCGTAACATCGCCCGCGTCCCGCAGATGGGTCGTTTCGATAATTGCAAGCCGTCTTTCTTCCTGCTCACTTTTGCACTGACCGACTCAGTCCGACATTCGTGCTGAGAATCAAAGGGAAATGAACAGGACTGCTGGAAGACGCGGAACGGAAAGGAGGATTGACCACTAATGAGGCGCAAACAAACGAGCCGCCCGCTCTTTCTCGGTGTTCTTTGGCTCTTAGCGCCTCTTCCCGCCCTGCGTCTCGCTCAATCGCGCATTCGAGGAGTTGACTCCATGGAAAAAAAATCCCGAACGTTCGACGAGGAGTGCGCGCGAACGGTAATGGTGCCGGGAACGGGAACAGGACTCGAATAGAAATAAAAGAGAGGCAGCGATGCTGAAGCAAGATTCTCAAGAATTCCATTCAGAATCACAACGCACGAAAGGACCGGAATCAGCTCGCGTGTTTCTGGCACGAGACTGTGATCCTTTAGTACCTCCTCCCCCTTGCCCGCAGCGTAATTTATCGTTTCCGAGGAAGCCACAAACGCGCGAGGGGACCCTCATGAAGGCAACTCACTCCTGAGACTCAACCCAAGAGAAGCGGACCGAATCCGACAGGAAAAAGAACCTAGAGCTTTAGACACAAGCGCTGCCAGACAAAGCACACTTGTCGACAAAACGAAAATAAAACCCTCTGCCTTTGGGACGAGATTCCGGGAGATGACTGCGAGTTTCCCGCGTGCTCATTCGAATCGTAGAAACCTCACGGCACCAGGCTTCTCGCCCGCTCGATTTGACGCGTTGGCGAGTTCAGACCTTAATCTCATACGGCTTTGATTCGTCGTATTTGCGCGATTTTCGCCCTGGCGGTACTACGCTCCGCACGTCGCTGATCCCAGATCTCGTCTGCCAATCGGAGACAGCTATCGGTTGTTTTGCTCCTGGCTTACTAACCTGCTCTGGAGACCGCTTGGCTTATAATGTGCTCGTCGCTCGTTAGGGACAAGCCCCCAGTTCAAGCTGTCGCGGCCTTGCTGCTCCTCCTCAACGTCCTATGGACTACCCCTGATACGTCGATTTCACCTCTTGTCGACGAGATGGCATGGCGGGGGAGGGCTTTCGATTCGGAGTAGCAGAGATAGGATGGGGCATCAGAATGAATCGACAAGAAAGCTCATCGGCAGCTCAGTTCGCATGTAGGTACTCTTCGGAGTGCACCGATAACAAGAGCGGGGAGGAGGGGTTCGGGAGTACCTTCAGGGAAATTCAGAGCCTCGCCTCATTCCCGACCTTCCCTACGGAGGAAAAACGTCAGAATCTCTGATGTCGACGTTTCGATCGAAGGAACAGCCGATGAAATAAGGAAACGAGATATTCTGTGATGCTGGGTAGAAACATTTGAGAAAATTCCCTACAGCGCGTTCCGATGAGGAAACGAGCGCAGTGAATCGGGGCTCGAGCATCACTCCAATCCGGAACGTCTGCTTTCGGGTATATCGGTTCATTCTGTCCATTCCATCAGCGGGAAGAGCCGACGAGAAACAACTGTATTCGCAGCAGACAGCGGAGACTCTATCTCCTTGGGCGTCCATCTAGCGTAGGCGTACCTCAGTGAGTAAAGGCTCACGATGTTCCAGTATTATTTCCTTTGTCAACATCCTGTTCACTCTCAGCGAGTGACACTACATTGAGAGAATGGAGGAAGGGCTTCCCTTCAACTTCCGGCTGTAAATGGTCGGAATGCCAATTACCTTAGTGGCCAGATCTTCGAGGAACAGCCGGGAACGAAAGAGGAAGCTCAGGACGTTCCTCTGCGCGGGCATTCGTGCGTCTGCGAAACTGTTTCTGTTTTCCTCCCTTCCGGCGTCTTCCGGGACGGAACCGACGGGTCTTAGCGCGATGTCGTCGACGGGAGTCCCATTGTGTTCGCCGCGGACGCTCGCGAGACTCCTCGGGGATTCACTCCCCCTTTCAATGATCGAAAATCTAATGGATTGAGGCTCTCGCTATATCTCTCCATCTTCGAGGCTCACCCGCTGCTGGCTGGGAATGCCGACCGGACGTTCCACAACATCTAAGCGAGTTCCCGCGGAGCAGCACGGCTTCTGGAAGGATCAGATAGTTGAGGAGAAAAAAGCTCGCCGCAGCCTACTCAATGTTTTTCCCTCGGTCGGACGAAAGCAAAGTTCTTCCGGCCGTCCTCGCATCCGTTCTTATCGATGTCGTCGACGACGACAACGTCCCGCCCGAAGATGATGAGTCTATTTCTCGAGGCTAATCGTGCGGCTACGCTCAATGACGGCTCCTTCCACTTTCTACCAACCGGAGTCGTTTCGCTCCGGTAAATCGAAATCTCGACGTGAACGATCGCGAGGTTTATGATAGTCGCTTGCATACTGAAACCACGCGCCGTGTGTTCCGAATATATATCTCGGCAGCTTCCAGCATTCGAGGTTACCCTGGAAACGCAGGTCGACTGCAAGGTACGGGAAGATTCTCACAGAGAACAGATTCCGGCATAGCGAATGTCGAGAGGGAACTGCCGGTATGAAAAAAAAACGGACGGAAGGGAGCAGAATAAACACCGGAGTGCTGAGAAAGAGTGCGGTGGAGAGAAGAACTCTCTTGCGGAGGGATTTAGATAAGAAATATCGAGGTCTTAGAACATGGTGCGACGACTTGCTCATCTGATTGTGAGCTTCGCCCTCCCCTGCTTGGATTGTCTCTGCCCTCTCTGCTTGTCGTGGTTCCTCCTGTCCATTACGAAGTCCGGAACCACTCCTCGGAGATCGGGCCTCGGAATCTTCAGATTTCCCAAGCGCCGGTTGAGCGTCGGACAAACCAAGAACGGGGACACTCCGAGTGGCTCTGACTCGGAACGTCGCCTGTAGACGGAAGTTTGAGACAAATGAAGCGCCCCGGGTGGTCGTCTTCAGTGACCAGGGTCAGCTGTTCTTCCGTCCTCTCGATGTCCATTATCTCCGGTCCTTCTTCCGTTTCGGTCGGGGTAGTAGCCTTCGCGCACTTGCCACTTTGTATTACCGCTTATCCTCGACGCACCTCCTCGGATAGCTCCAGTGACAACAACAAACGAGCGAGGGTGATATCGAAGACTCTATTGCCATCATCGTTTTTCTCTCCGGGGCAGTTTTCCCGCTCCCGTCATCTCTCGCTCCCGCTTTGCCGGTGTTCTGCGAGGAACATCACGCAGAATTCTGTCTCGCGATGCTTGGAGAGCGGAATTACGGCGTGAAGGACGGCTCGTTGAGCGAAGGCAGACGAACGGGAAACTGCGGGACGCTGTTACCGCTAAAACGAGAAAGTACCTTCCACCTATAGAAACAGGCTTCCTCTGTCGACAGCAACAGCAGCGGTGGTTTGAACAACGCAGCAAAAATTGCTGATTTGATCAAACGCAGGCATCAACAACGCGTATATCGCGAGACCAGAAGCGGCAACACCGGCAGCGGTTGCAGCATCGGCGACAAGCTTCATTCAGCTGCGAAGGCTGTCGAAAGCTATCGCAAACTCTTGCGGAAAGCAGAACTTTCCTCACTGTTCAATATTGGTAATGCATCAGGTTATAAAGCGCAGTCGGTATAGAGACGGGGAGGGAGAGCGGATATTTGAATCAAGCCACGCCGAAAGACATCGGCAGCAGAGACTCCAACTCAACAGGATTGAAGTCGCGAAACCACTCGACTCGAAGACGAACTTTTGCCGATTGTTGACTCTTCGGGAAGCGCTACTGGGTATCTCCTTTGGTCGACAGGGCTCTTGCACTTCACAATGACTTTGTTCTCTTGTCCTTCGTTCGTCGACGCAGCGCCGCGTTGCGCTTTTTGTTCTTTTCTGTGAAAAAAGAAAGGAACGAGAAAGAGTGGAATGCGGCTCCTGAGTCAGTATCTTGAATTTGAGATATTTTGAAATTTCTGATCCTCGACCGGGAAATCCTTCGGATCAAGTTACAAAAGATTCTCTCCCATCCCTCGTTTTTTCTCAGCGGAGCGAAATCTGAAAACAGACAGCGTACCAACAGCAAGCAGACGAATGGCCTCTTTGGACGTAGTTATGGAACAACTGAGAAGGAAAACAGCAGCTCTGACGCAAAACCGTTTCTTATTCCAGCAAACGGCAGCTGCGACATGGTGATATCGTCGAACCACTCCAAGAATGGCACCATAACCTCGCCCAACTACCCGAACACATATCCGGGCAGCATTAAGTGCACCTACCACTTCCAAGGCGAGGGGAAAGAACGTGTCCAGATCAAGTTCACAGACTTCGACTTATACAAGTCGAGTGACGACTCTCGAGAGTGAGTGTTTTTTCTGTTTAGGTACTGGTTTGTCAAATTCAGGTTTCGAGGTAGATTTTGAATTCACGGAGCATTGGGCATGAGTCCTCCTGGGGACTCCGAAAACTCCTGGGTCTACTTTCCGAGCACCGGTCGGCCGGGGCTCACGTTTTACTGTACTCGCAACGGGGGAGGGTGGGGGGTGAAATAAGATGAATGCGGATGAGATCCGATGCTCGTAAAGAGCTCACACTCTCCTCTAGAGGTGGGCTAGATCCAAAAATTCCAGAGCCCAACCAAGTGCGCCACAGGGGGCTCTTTGAGATTTTCTGCGTTTTTTCACCCTCTCCGTTTCGGGATCTCCGTCAAGACGGTTGCTCACTCGACGGCGACAAGAAAAAGCTGGCCAAGAGCTATACGCTCGGCTCGCGGAGCTCTTCTCGACGTCAAGAGTTCCGGGCAGAGTCGTTTTTCTTGCAGAAGAGCCGAATTCCACGCAGTGAATAAATCCTGTCGGACGTTTGGCAGCTAGCTGAGTTGACCCGCGGCGACAGGACACAAGAGCTATAAACAAGCTCAATGCCGAATCTACTTTTGAAGCTGCGAGGCTTGGTTCCATTTCCGAATCGGAAGCCTCTCGACACGTGGACCTCTCTCGTTAGTTCTGCGCGAGATTGCCGCCTAACTCCTCTGCGACCATATGCAAATATCTCAATATCGGAATCCGTTAAAGATGAGCTAGCAGGCCGTGCCAGGCACGCTCATCGTGAGCGGCCTCTCCGTCGTCGTACTTCATTCCCTCTTGCTCCATCAAACGATCAAGAACTAAGCAGTCGAGCGACCATATCAACCGCCTTGGGCGACCTTAGAGTCCGGTAGAGGTTCCAGAGTTTCAATGTATATATGTACCTCCTTTAAGGAGCTCGCTACGCTTCCTTAGTCTGGGATTTTCGATTCTTAAACTCCGGCTCGACATCCGATGTCCATTGCGGAGGTCGAACGTTGTTAAAGAGCCCGAGAAAGAAGGAAAAACCACCAGATACCAGACAGAGTATTCCTTCACCCGAACCAGGAGCTTGAACATATGCGAAAAAATTCCCCGGATTCCCTAGCTGCGAGTTCACGATGTTACGGGAAAACTATCAAGGACGGGCATTGCGGGCTCAATCAGTAGCAGATATTTCTATCAGGATTCTTAGGGGATCACCTCGGAGCGCCGCGCCGTTCACAGACTTCGCATGGTCACAATAACACCGGGAAAATATTTCTCCGACGGCAACCACCTAGACAGGTGTGCCGATTCCCGCGGAAAACGGTGAATCCTCACCCGGATTCCCCAGATTCCCACCGGGAGAAGAGAAACTGAGGGGGATCTAACGGGTGACTGCCCTAATACGCACCTCGCGACGTTCTTCTTCATCCGACGCTTTCTCCCTTCGTGGCAGGTCAGCGTGAAAAATAGCGTTTGATGTCAAAGAAGTGAATTGTAGCGAGAAAACGAGCGAGGGGAAGAGCCGAGGGGAGGACAAGCGAAAGAAGATGAGCTAAAACAGCGAAAGCTCCGCTCGGAATCGCAGGTTCGTCCCTCGGAGTACTGCATTCGAATCCTGGCGGCTGGCAGGCGCGTCTCGGATCGAAATCCGTTGTCTCATTCTCGAATCCCTGCTCTTGATTCAGTTGACACCGTCTGACGGAATCGAACAACGCGCCGATGCTCTCGGGATTCTCGTCGTGGGTCGACTTGGGACGGATAGTCAGGGCTCGCACACTCTCCTTTTCTTCGCTTCTCAAGTCTCGCTCGTTGTCTTGCCTTCCATTTGTCTATTGCTCTTGGTGGCGAGTGAAGTCAAGCCGAGTGGGCCAAGTCTGAGCGCCGGCCGGCTCGCCTTGCCGTCGAGAGACTGTTTGTCGGCTTTCTTCCTACTTTTTTCCCTTCTTACTTTTGCCATCCGCAGTCATTTGGGAAAAGAATGAAAGGACCGAAAAGTCTTTGGAATTTCTCTATTGGCTTAGGAAGCGACGATGGCGGCGGCGGTGGTGGCGGCGACGACGACAGAAACGACGTTTTGCGCCAATTTCAATGGCCGTACCCAATGGAGTGGTTTATTTCTCCCAGCTCCCACGCGGAACTTTCGACGGAAGAAAAACGAAGGCGACGATTGCATGATATTCCCTAACCCGGATAGGGGGAGAAAAGATTTTCGAAAAAAGTTCTCCACTTGAGCGTCAGGTTCCACCCTTCCCGGGCTTTCTTCCCATATCTGAGGGTGGATGACCGAAATCTCGACCATCGCGGCCGTCGTCCGTGCCCTATCTCGGGCTTTGAATACGTTCCGCTCGGGTTTGGCCGGGGAGTGCCTGTGACAAGTTCCGTTTTTTTCCTTCGGCTTCTCTGCACTCAGTGGGATGAGTCCAACTCGGAGTCGGGACCATCCACGAACGCGAGAATCAGCCTGTGGCCGGGATGGCAAGTGAAGTAGCTCGCAAAGCGCAACGAAGCGACGCTCCAAAACAGTAGAACTGTGTATGTAGTTGTAGAAGTTGTCGTGGAAGCCGGAGCAGTTGTTTCGGTCGCTGACGCCCCGGGCGTTCCTCGTCGAGCTCCTTCCGGCCGGCCGGTCGCCCGGCCATCGGGTCTCCTATGGTGGCAGCAGTCGCCGTGGAAAAACCGGAAAGGATGCGAAAAGCACAGTTGTTCGCTGGATTCATCGTCCTTCTGTTCTTCCGCTTGTTTCCGAACATGATAACAACAACGAATAGCGAGGGTAGTGGAAGCGTTTCTCGGCAGCTACTTCGAAACCGAGCGGGAGCTGCTGAGGGAAAAATATTACAGAGGGAACGGACGAGCCCTATGGCGAGTATCGAGCGCGTTCTTGGAGCCCGATGACGTCACAAAACTCCACTAGGATTCTCCCCATCCCTTCGACTACTAACAGTCGTTTTCCTCCCCGCCCCTTCCACTCATTGACGAACAGTTCGAAAATCGCTTCCATTCTCAGTATGGAAAAATTTGGCTCAGATTTGTTTGTCTCTCAATTCGTGTGTTCGTCCGCGCTTCCGTTCATTTATAGAAGTCTGTTCTCGAAACATGAGGGTGAGTCGACGTCAACGACGGCTGGCGGTGGCACTCCGCCTTGCGGATGTCTGGCAACCAGAGGGGAAAACCACGCACGAATAGGCCGAATAAGCGTCAGACGTAAGACAACGAATTCGGTGAATTGCTTCCTCGAGGCGTTTGTTGCCATCTTCCTCTCCATATTCCCCTAGTCTTCTGCTGGGTCGTCCGCTCGACTTCCCTGCAACAGACAACGGGTTTAGCAAGCGGCCGACACGGGAGCCAACTACGCAACCAACAAGGCAGTCAGCCGTGCGACCGATTAGGGAAGTAATTATTTTTGCCTTCCTTGTTCTCTCGTCGCATCCCCCGCAAACCAACTGTTCCTTGTTCTGTTCTCGACACATACTACATCGCACACCCCGAGAAGGCGACAGAATGAAACCGAGGGCAAACGCTGACTTTGTCTCTCCCGTTTATTGAGCCCTACCGCAGCGTTCGTGGATAGAACGAAGGAAGATGTCGCTCGACGCAGTTCGTCGACCCGGGGCTTAGGCGAGGCGGGAGCGAGCGCAGAATTCTCCGAAGCAATGAATTCAATCGTGGAATTCGATACTCTGTAGTGTAATTGGCTCAGAGCGCTCGGCTCTCTCATCGTATCGCGAGCAGAACGTTCGCAATTCCTCGTGATCCCAGTGGCCCTCGTATCCTCCTCCGAGTCGGAAGAGCGCTGTGTTTATTAGCTGCTGAGCCGCCCGGCAAGCGGTCCGTAGGCGGTCGGGAAAGCGTCCCCCCCTCGTCCCGATGACCCCGGGGGACGAAAGTACAATTGCTTTGCACAACACGATAACGGTGAGGGATGATGACCATGAGCTGTAGGGTCTAGCCTTACGATCGTAGGTACAAGCTTCCGCGGCGAGCTCGAAGACAATACGCCAGAGGGAGACAGCGGGTACGAGCGCGACGGAGAGCGTCCAAGTGCGGACCATTGGCGCTGGCGACGACATAAGAACTCTTTTATGCAGGTGCAGCCGGTCCACTCTGTCTCTGTGTGGGTGTGCTCCCATGTGAGCCGGCGAAACAACGAACGAGCTTCAGCTATTACGTCGGCTAACTCGAGCGTTGAGACCGTTATCAAGAGCTGCGAACAGTGGTCGCGAAGGTCTATCCAAACGGACCCCGGCAGTGGGGACGCGACGAAGAACGACCGTCAGAACTTCGGGCATATGAGCCCGCGAGTCCTATTGTCGGCACGACCAGTGCTCGCTCGCTTGATCGCCCGAGCGCTGCTGAGAGGTGTTGCTGGTGACAACCTCAAAGTTTTTTTCAACGCTCAATTAACTAGATACCACGAAGCTCCTGGCATGCTTTTGATTGTTCTTCATTAATTCTTGCCTACGTCTGTGAATTTCCTTCTCTCGGTGCTCCCTCTCGGTCAGGAAAACCTGTCCCTGACCACGTTGCGGCGCCCGGAATATTCGAGGAGAAAGTCCATGAGGTCTCCTCTTGCGGCCTCTCCCTCGCGGTAGGCGGTAGCCCTTCTCCCGGCGATCGTCCGTCAATCATTGGCCGTCGGAGCCGAGCATCTCTCAGGTCTCCGATATTTCCGCGCACTCTTCTCCTTGGGAAACTTTCCCGAACCTCAATGTTCGCTTCGGGCTCTTCGTAATGGCGTGAGACAGGATGTGGGCACAGCCCTCAGCCAACGTATGCAAGACCTAGAACACCAATGAAAATATATGAATATGGCGCTCCACCTGCGCCGTGCGGCTTCGACTAAAATCGATTGTCAATAATGACAAATGAATCCGAGGCTGGCTGCCGTCGACGAGAGAGGGTGACAGTCGAACCCGCTGTCTTCGCGGCGGACAGACGTCTTGGGTTGTTCACGCGCAGACGATCCCTGACATTCTTCTGAACTTACGACAAAAAATTATAATGACTTAGACGCCCCGAAGCGCCATCAGTCAGACCAACAGACGGAAGGGCAGACAGACAGGCGGACGGACGCACGCACGCAAGCAAGCACGCATGGGGAGACAGCCACGCAGACTCGCACGCATCCCGCGACTCGAGGAAGACGACTCGGTTTGCTTTGCAGCCGAACTCGGATGCGAGGGACGTCTGCTATGCAAATGTTCTCACGTGAGTTTTCTCTGTCGCTACGACAGTGTTTCCGACTGTGTCGCTCAGTCAGCCAAGTCGCCCGTCTGCTGGCTCATCCGACGTTCCCCTGAACGTTCCTTCTCTCTTATGTATGTTGCTGAGCCGCCGGTCGGTCGGGGCGCTCCGCCGAGAGAAGACGTCTCACGGCGAGAGGGAAGTCGTCAAAACTCGGGCCAGGTCGGACAAGCGGCGCACTCGAGCGGGCCAGCGGGTCGGGTTCAACCGGATTGTGTGTCTGAACTTCTTCGCACTCTCGGTCCACGTGCTCTGCCTTAATATAATTATTTTTTAACGTCAGCAATTACAGCACCACCGTTCCCAGTGGCGGAAGGAGCGAGGGATGGCCTTAAGAAACTGACAGCGCTCATTATCGGATAATTGAGACGGCGGAAATTGTATTTTTCGAAATCGAAGTGTGAAAACCACCCGGATCCGTATGCCGATGCAGAGACCCAGGAGAATCCAGGAGATCAACAGTGATCGCGAAGTTGTTTTTTGCATTAATTCTCGCGTATGAGAGAGATCGACCCAGGAATAGGGTCCTGAACCGAGGTTTCTGGAGAAATAGATTCTCGGAGAAATAATCGAGAGTCTCCGTCGTCTACGCTACATCGAGTACATCGGCGGGGCTCAGCTCTCCTGCAAGGTGGAGTTTTCTCATGGGCTCGAATACACACGCCGCTACTCTAGCTGCTATTTTGAGAAAAGCACGCGATTTGTCTGCTGTCAATTGCAACCAAGGACTAGACGGCTCCACGCTCGTTGGAAGCCGCCCGGGCGAGCAGAAGAACCCGCGGAAAATTCCACCGTCGAGCTTGAAACCCCATTCTCACTTGTCGCCCGCTCGCTCACCCAACAGCCCGTTGCCAAAGATCGACGCCTGGAAACGGAAAAAGCTTCAGATCACTGTCCAAAGCACCGCATCTTATGTGGGCGCGTCGATGGGCTCGCTTTGCCATGGTCACGAGAAGACAGAGTTTGGAATCCCAGGTAGACGCACGTGCCGCAAGAGAGTCTTCCTGAACTCGGAGCAAACTCCTTCGATCTGAGTCTGCTCCGATTTGATATCGGTCTGTTCGACTCTGGTCCCACTTCAGCGAGATTTCCTGCAAGCACCCCCTACCGTGGAACCTCGCAGAGCACATTCTGAGCCAAATGTCGAACCGAAACGCAAACCTCCGCAAGACGAGGACAGCTGAGTGAGTCAACCGAGCCTCTGGAAACAGGAAGTACTTGAAGTGGTTGGAGGACCTTAATGTAGGAGCAGACCGCCATTTCCCTAGGAGACTATTGGGTGAGCCGAGTAGGGCGGTGGTCTTTCGATCGGTTCGTCCTGACTCGGCTCTTAGAGACCGAATCCCCGAGAACTTGCCCATGGCAGCCTTTTAGTCAGGTGATGCCTGACGCCGTTGTTCCTGAGGACCTTGTGAATGAGTTCCTTCCGTGAGCACAAAGGCTCTTATATGCTGAGCACTTCTCCTTCACCCGATCTCGCCCAAAGCTTCGAACAGCGTCTTGATATCCTGTCGAGGGCTTGTGTGCCAGAAAGATATCCGGTGGAGCCGATCTCGATGCGGTAGCGGTTCAACAGACCCCGGGTCCGTAGGCGTTGGAAACGCTACGTTTTTGTCGTAATAAAGCGCTCAGGGCGTCTCGAGCCAAAGAATGGCGCCGATCGACGCCAAGCGAGCGAGTGTGGCGGTTGACTTCCCACGTTGTTGAAATTGAATCGTGACGCAGTTGACTTTTAGCACTTGTTCGATTTTTATCCGCTGCTGTCGCCTTCGTTCCCTGTTCACTAGCCACGAAAACTAAGATGGGATAGGAGCGGGGAGTGCGCGACAGGGAAACATGAAAAGCGACCGAGCTTCCAACAGAGAGGGGCATCAATTTTTGCTCCGGCAGCAGGTCCAGACAGACCGCTGCGGTGACGGCGGCGGGCTCGGCGGCCGGAGAACGAAGAAAAATACTTAGCTCCGTTTCACTCGCCGTCGACCCCCGCTCGCTCCGCCGGTCCTGCTTGGCTCGCTCGAGCTTTTAGGCGATGGTGCCAAAAGTTTGATGATTTCTCTTTCTCTCAACGCAATTATGAGACGAACGAAGGAACAAGTGACCATTCGCAGCGGCCGAGCATGTCGTGCACTATTGGCAAGGACGAGGGCGGAGTTTTTCCGCTCGAACCTATCAAGGACTTCAGACCTCTCAGCCCCATTCGGGAGCGGGGGCTCTGAGATTCCGTGAAATCATGAATTCAGAACTTCTAGTCCCACAGTTTTCTGGTTGGCTGGCTTGAAGTACATGACATGGATTCTTCGTCCATGAGTATACTACCTAAAATTCAACGAGCTCCCGGACAACCTCCGGTCAGCCTTTTCTGGTTCTCATTCAGAGCTTCTGAATCTCTCGGAGGAACATGAGACTGTCACCAGACGTTTTTTCGACGCATCCAGAAGTCGTCGGAATTGAGAAGACTCCCGTTTTTACCGTATCATTCATGATGGAACAAATCCCCTAGTTGCTTCATTCCCATTGAACGTAATACGAGGCCCAGTGTCAGCGAACTCCGCCGGCTGATGGATCTCGGGGCCAGAACATTGACTTGAAAGTGCAATGGCTACCGACCGCACTACTGAGAACCCGAGGGCCCACGAGTGGCGTGCATGTGAATGAACTGGTAGTGGTTGAGTGGAACGCCGCCCTCCAGACGCTCCGTACCGGAAATACGCAATAGTCGCATCAATGGAGAAAAGAAACGCCCGGCCGAATATAAGACTCGGCACAAATCTTCTCACGGCACGGCATCGCCGCACACGCGCTAGACATATGAGTTCGTCTACTGCTCGGAGTCCCCCTTACGGGTTCTTTCACTTCACTCGATCAATCCCGAGCGGACTTTCTCCTTATCTGTGGTGCGGAAAGGAGAGAAGAACCGACGCGGATAAGGCCACGCGCTTTCTCCCCAATCACCGCGTTGTCTTCTGAGTCACCGCCGAGTCGATTCCATCAAGGAAGAATAATTATTTTCCCAACCAGGTGCTAGCGATTTTTGACAAGTGGTCAGCCTTCGAAGCCGAGAGCAATATTAATCGGGCTCATGTTGTCAATTACAGTTGCGAGAACGTCGATTCCGTCGTGGTATTCATCACGATCAAAGGACAACGTGAACGGGTGGACAACTTCTGCGGGAACACTTTGCCCGTGCAGATAATGAGCAATGAACATCGGATGACGGTCATCTTCCAGAGCCATGCTACAGCATCCCAGCCCGTCCAGGGGTTCAGAGCCATCTATCAATTTGTAACTAGTGAGTATCGCTTGCTACAGAGAGTTTTTACATCTCACTCGAGGAAAACGAACTATCGAAGACTGAGGATTCGAAAGAGGGGAAGGTGGCATCGAGCCTCGCTCTGAAGACTCAGTCGGAGCTCCTGCCTGACCTCCTCGACTCGCCCGGGATGGGCTGCCGGTAATGGTCGGAGTCGGGGCGGTCAGGTGCGGACATCTTTTCTGCAAATTCTTCCAATTACGTTCCAAAAGCAAAGTTCAATTGGAAATGATCACGCGATCTTCGGTAGGGATCCTCCTCTTCAGGACCAATGACGACGTGCCGCGTTTCCAGCGGTCGGGACGATTTCCTTTGTCTTTCTTTACTCCCGACTCCTTCTATCTCGAGATTCAAGCTCTCGAACTCTTGAAAGCTTCCGCCAGCCAGCCGGGCAGTCAGTTAGACAGTCAGTCAGTCAGTGAATCCGCTGACTCCTTCGTTTGTTCCCGAGTTCTCCTCACTGAGTCGAAAGGATCCTCGACAGAGCGCGCAGAAGAATTTGAATAGCTATCGAATGCGAGAATCCATTCATCAAGCGCCTCAATTATTTCCGCAGAACGGAAGTGGCAGCACACCGAATAAAAATTAATGAACAATTCCAAACTTTCGTCTTTCCCCCCTCTCCGATAGCCTTTATCGGCATCTGACTGATTTATGTCCGGGAGTCAGAGCGAATTTGTTTTCCCGGCTGGCAAAAGTATGAAGATATTCGACATTCGGTTCAGCTCTCGGGGTAGGGGTGCACACCCCTCCCTTCGTCTTTGTGTTGCGCCGAGGTTTCCTTTCGGTCGATTAGGAACCGAACTGAATCATGTTCGAGGAGGAACAAGTCAGCCGAAGCACGAGTCGGTGAGCTCGGCTACGCAGCCGTTGCCGGAGCCGAACACCGTTCGCTATTATGGCATTTTATGTTCCGATGGGAGGATGCCAAGTGTGGCTCCCATTGGATTTATTGCCCCGAGTGCTCGACGATTCTGCGGGGCGGAAGTTTTCGTCGGAAATGCTTCTCCGAGCTCCGGTCGAATCGGTCACTTCATGGTCGGTTGTCCGACTCCAGGTATTGCACGGATTCGTCGGGGAGCAAGTCGTACGAGTTCCTCCCGAGTTTGGGTGAGCCGTTGACGAGATTTCCTGAAGAGAAGGATCCGGAACGATCCGGAGCTTCTGTAGAGATGGAATCGGAGTCTCTGAATGCTCCACCTTCTCTTGAGCCAGGAGGGAACTACCAGGACCTCCTGTCGGCTCCTTTCTTGCTCGGGGACGCAATCATGCTCAGATCGGGTTCTACACGAAGCTGTGGGACCGACCGTTCATTTTGATGAGGCTGTGTGTCTCGGTGGAAGTCGGCGCTTCCTCGCAGGCCTGCACACTGAGAGCTGCTCGTGGCTGAAGCAACCCGTGTTTCAGATTTTGGGATTCCCTCGGGTCGTCAAGACCCGCAAGGTGTCTGCACGTTCATCTACAACAGCAGTGAGGTGTCGAATGGGACGTTCACCACTCCCAACTACCCAGGAGTGTACCCAAGAGACACCGAATGTCACTACTTGTTCTATGGCAAGGACAAGGAGAAGATTCACATTCAGGTAAGCCCTGTGCCTGTCTGATGGCTGAATTAGAGAGAGTCCCCGTCGAGCCTTCACCGTTCAGAAAATTGCTCCAACATTAGCTCCCGTGCCATTGAGTCCGGGAGCTTCTCGAAAATGGGTGCCGACGTCATAATCGTTAAACGGATGAATATTCATCTTTCCAGTTTGCTTACTTCGATGTCGAAGGCGTACCTCCCTGCACATCGGACACGGCGTCTGACTACGTCGAGTTCTCCAACTTCAAAACCGTAGACCGAAAAATACCTCGGCATTGTGGCAATATGAAGCCGAACAAAATCGAATCAGACTCGGACTTCTTCCGGGTAGCTTTTCGCTCCAATGATAAATTCGACGGAACCGGTTTCGAAGCCTTCTATCAGTTCCGCGGCGTTCACGGTAGGTGGAATCTAAACCTGACGAATGCTAATCCGTATTCACGCACTGCACACTCGATTCACGTATGCGAAACAAAGAAAGAATATGTCTGCACCCACCTGGAAACGTCTCTCTCTCTCTCGATACCGATCGAGTCACTCAAGACACGTCTGAAATATAAAATGAATATGTTTGGGCTCGATGCATCCCGATACGATTCCTCAGGAAAAGTTCAGACAAATAATCAGAATATTAGCCCATAACTGTAGACACTCCGGAAGCACCGGGAGCCGAATCGTTTCCTCATGGAATCGCTCCTGATCCCCGAAGTCCGAAAGCTCAGGGTAGCGACGATGGAGGATTTCATCACAAAAGTAATAATTGCTCGTATCTCTAAACAGTCGAGGATCCGAAACCAAGACCACCGTCCCACTCCACGGGCAGAACTTCAGCTAGTGGTCTGAACCACAGTACGAGTGTCCTGACGCTCGCCTGCAGTCTGTTGTTAATGTTAATGTATGTGACGAGACAAAGTTGCACGTGAAGGTTCGTAGACTTCAACGCCGTTCTCCCTCTATCTTTATAGAGCCACGTTGATAGAGTAGGTGTAGATACTTAGCCTCGAATGTCGTCCCTGATTTCAACACCGAGTCTCTATAGACTATTCACCCTAAACTGAACGGTCGAACCCCATCGAGAGGTCATGTTGTATTTGAAATAATCTAGTCGTCGCACCGATTCCATCTTCTTCCGAAAGAGCAAAAAGTTAAATTCTTCGAGCGATGCCGAGACTCAGAAAATCGGAATTCGAAACGTTTTCGAGCCTATTCGATTCAATGATTCGCGATCCGACGCTGATCAATTACCCGATTCTCTGCCAGTCCTATGCGGCTCATAGAGAATGACGTTACTCCTCGAGGAGCATTCAAATTCAAGCAAGGGATCCTACTCATTAAAAAAATTCCTCCCTTGTACCCTCTTTTTTCATTTTGAGGCGACAGAGCCCTCAGAGCCCCCCTCGATAGTTTCGCTAGAAATTAATCACGGCCAACTCTTACGATCCGTTACAGAAACAGGTAGGATTCGTCATGTTCATAACGTCAGCGTAACCTCAACAAGATATCACGGTGAGTATTAGCAACGTGTCTGGGGTCTCTCCGAGCTAGGGGAGTGGTATAGAGCAGAGGACAATCGACGGGACACCCTCAGACCAGGAGTGCAGATGGTGCCGATTCCCTCGGTTTCCTTTCGAGATGAAAATATCAATGCTGTCGTTTGTAATGTTATCGCCGCTCGTTTCGGGCGCCATCATTTGTCTTGATTCCATTTCTGATTCTGCTCTCCATCTCGTGAGGGAGCCGAAGAACAGTCGGGAAGATTTATACTCGAAGCGAAGGGCCCAATTAGCGTCTGGAAGCTTGTGCCTCGCCAGTGGATCGTAGTTTCTGAACAACACAGATGGTGTTCGCAGATGGTCGAGTAGGATCGGAAGGTGACGTCACGATGTGTGGAATCAATCGCATAGTGAGAGATACACGACATTGAGCTCCTCCTCAGAGCAAGCGCCAGACTGGGACTTCGACCGTTGTCTTATTGGCTGTTTGAAGCCAATGGAGCTCCATACTCGGAAGTCGTGACTTGCGTTGGATATTTCCTCTATCGGACGTTCACCTTTGCGACAGAAGTTGACGAGACCAATCGTCTAGGGGTCATCCCGGAGTTTCGTTCCGGGGTCCGGATTTTCTGCACGGAAAACAAGCACACAGAAGGCGGTCCAATCTTCTGCTTTCTTGAGGCTCGATTCAAATCCTCAATTTTTTTCATTCATCTTCAGGTGTGATTTCGCTCCCGATGATCACGCTGTTCGCCCTAGTTATAAGTCGAGTCTGTACCCACAACTGAGCAGATGGAGCGAGCCGCCGGACGAGCGAGCTTGTGAAGGAACAAGAACTCAGAGACAGCAGCGAAAAGAGGGACGAAGTCTTGCACAATCGAGCCCGGAGCGGTGCCTACACCAACAGCAATCATCAATCAATATCCAGCGACATCCGCAACAGCTGCGAAACCTCCGTCGACTGGAAGCCCGACGTCGCGAACGCGGGGCATCACTGCAACGTCGTGATCGTCTCCACTGATTAATTGATTGATGGCGAGAATGAATTGAATGAATCCAGTAGCTTGTCATAAGCGGTCATCGAGCGTGATATTCCCGCCACTGTCGTCGCTGTCACCAGCAACGACGGGCGAGTATCAGCTAATTGTTAATCGGAAGAACAGTGTCGACGTCCGATGTCATCATCTGATGGAACATCAGCGAGCCGTGATCGATGATTCGGACGCTCCAGGCTCCTTCGCTCAACATGTCTGTTCCCTCCTCCGGCCAAATGTTTCGGTTGGATAAGATCTGGGGGAGGAAGAACAATTCCAAGGCCTAGAATTCTGTCTCATAATGTTAAATTGTTGTGCGGCGGTCAATTTTTTCCTCTGACGATTGAGTCACAGGAATTCCCATCCCTCGCTTACCTCGTCGAGATCGAACGCGTCGCACGGGACGATGTCCCCGTGCCTTTTCCCTCGGTTTCACTTGTGTTCTAAGGCGGATCGGAGCGATTTCTCGATAGGGAATCCGATTCGATTGTCAGCGACCATCGACGAGAATCTTGTGCTCCTCGCAGGTGCGATAAGCAATTTCGTTTCGTAGGGAAATGCTCGTTTTCATATCCAGGATGGAGTTTTCCTCTGTCTCTATTTTTTCTTTGAACACATTGTCTGTACATAAGCCGTATATCACATTCCCATGAACATATAATAAATTTGATGATGTGAACGTTGACGGATGGGACGGGGAGAACGACGGTACCCCGGAGGTGGAACAAGAGAAGCAGGGAATTGATATAAGTAATGAATCGTCGATGAGATCGACATGTTGTCGACGCGGATGTTCTTTAGAACGGAGATCAGATGAATATCGAGAAAGAGTGAGTCACAGCCAAAGTTTATTAAAAAATTACGTTGAAATCATTTGTTCTCCTTGATACTCATGATGCATGTTCGCAGCCATGTTCGGGGTATGAGGCCATTTTCATAAAAGGGAATCATAGGTTTCATCGGCTCTCATCGGCGGCTGTGGGCAGCGTACTCGAGTAGGAGGCTTCCTGGGCCCTCTGATCGCTTGTCCAAGTATCCTGCTGGAAGAAGGGATGAGCCGATCGAATTTCTAGGAACACAAGAACCGAGAACAATGATTCTCACATATAGTAGACACGGAGTAGACACTCCCATTAGACGTCACACGAGACGCCCGTCTGCTCGATAGCTGGTTGGCCTGCTGAACCGGAAAACAGCGGAACGAATGACTAGTATTCATAGACTCGCGCCGCAGTTTGAAAGCTGGCGTCCTGTAGCCGCGAAAGGATTCCTGCAACATTCTGAACTTCTCCAAGGAGTTCAATATTGCCCCCGGGCACGTCCCAGCTTGTCGACGCTTCTCGTCGGCGTCTTGTTGTTGTTCTCCGTGTTGCTGTCGCCCTCATCGTCGGCGTTGTTGGGCTTGTTTAGCTTTTTTTTGTTTGCAGTCATGCGGCTACTGCGAGAGCGAGGCCTCCTGTTCTGATTAGACGGCGGCGACGCAGGATAAGCAAAGGCTTAATCAGACCCTCGCGGTTGTTTCGTCCCGATAGCGATCGCAGCGTCGAGAAGCGCCCGAGAAGACTTTTTCTTTCGTCTGGAACAAGGGTTGTGTACCTTATTCAAAAGAAAATCGAGTACGAGACGTTGAGGAAGGATGTCGAGAGTTTGACTCGATTCTGGGAGGTGCGAGTCTTGAAGACGAGGAGTATCCTCGGAGATTGATAGTTTCCTGGAGTTGCACGACGGAGGAGAAGAGACGCTTTCGACTCTATCGATCGGGATGGCAGTGAAGCAAAACATTGACGAATCGAAAGAGTTCTTCTCGGCCGGAGATAGATGTGCTCGATCGACTTTTGAAGTGAGTAAGCTCTCGCTTCTCGTCATCACCGACCGATATACGATGAATATCCCGATGCTCGTTCCCTCTCGCTGGGTTTTGCTCTTTGAATTTTATTCCTTTCCCGGTTCGACTAAGGCTAATAGAAATTGAAGCAGAGTCGGACTTTGGCTTCTGCGCGAACATTTGCAAGAGACATCATATCGATTATCGTTTCCCAAGAAAGCGGTGGAGAGTCCTCCGTCCGGCTGTCGCCATAAACTCAACCGTGAAGTCGAGAAGGAATCTCGAACTCACACGGCCGGCCCTCTGCCGACTCAAGAACGAATTGAGGTATTTCTCATTGCGCGGTGGCATGTTTCTTTCTCGTTAGTTTTTATCCGGAAACACAGATTTCATGTCCTCGGGTCATTCCTGAGAATTATGGCAGAGGCGCATATCGAACGGGAACATTTTCCGAGACGCCAGAGCCAAGGTGCCGAGACGAGCAGTGAGGTGCTCGATCAGATCGGAGCGCTTCCAAGATGAGACAAAAGTTGCAACATCGGTACCGAATCCTCGTGCCGACATGTTCCTGTGCCGGAGTCCCAGTTCCGTCCCAGCCGGACTGGTCGGAAGTATTCGCAGTCAGTCCACGCCAGACCTTTGCTCCGACGAAGGGGCGGCCCGTCGTCTGATGCATCGAAATACAGTCGACGAACGTGGGCTCTGTTGACGGGGTCCATACGCCAGACCGTCGGAGAGCAGGAGTGAAAAGGAGAACCTCTTCACAATAGCGCTTGCTTGCAGGGATTATCATGTTAATACAGCGGAGGCGGCACTAGCAGGAACAACATGCGCTGAAGCCCACTCATTCACTCCTTCAGTCAGTCGTTTTCTCGCCTCTAACAGCGTGTGGAGCCCCGTGCACAATGGAATCGCGCACGGAGAGCTCCCGACCCGTCTCCCATAGGATTTGCACGTCAGCGGCAAACAGCGTCATTTTCGAGTTCAGGACTCGAGAAGAGTTAAGCGCGAGCTCACTCCGCTCTCAATAGCGATTCTGCCATCTCACCTATCTAGTACCTTTCATGCCGCCAGTATGGAGCGGGGACAGTGAACACAAAACGAACGTTCGCTCCTGACGCACCGAACCAGGGTAGCACACCAGAGGGAAGGGGAAGATCAAGAAGCGGAGCTGAGGCACTCTGGGGACCGAATACCTTCCGAAAGCATGCGATTTGAGCCACCAAAAAAAAATTGCCCGGAGGCGTGATGACACCATCGTCAGTTTCGATGGGGCGAAATGAACGACCTTCTCTAATTGGCTCATTGTTTCCGGAGAAATGAGGACGCCTGTCGAGGGAATGAGGGAAAATCGGCATCATGCATTACAAGCGACCATGTCTTCCGATCGAAGTCGACGGGTCCACGTATGATAGATTCGCGAGGAAAGGCGCACCTGGCACGCAAGTGCGTTCCTCCTGACTCGGAGAACCTTGAGAGGAAACGCGGAGTCTAGAAATAGGTGTGACCGAGAAAAGTCAGGACATTCTCCCGAGGGTTTTTCGGAGTACTGCTCGTAGCTTCGAGATTTGTAGAAACTGATATCTTCCGAGGTATTCATTTTGACACTGCATACCTTTTCGGGCGGTTCATGCATCCGGTACCTCGCCACCCTTGCACTTCAAACGCAGGAACCGACAAGTCATTCCTCCTTGGAACGCAAAGAACCACTGGTAGTGGTTTCTCTCATGCACGCTCGACGAAGAGTGCTCCTCGCAAGGCTCTCCTCCCGTTACTCGAGGTGGCGGTTTTATAGCCCGGAGATCTTTTGCTTTTTGGTTCCCATTGGGGGAAGGAAGCTTCCGCGAACAGACGCGGATATTTTCTCGAAGACCGACAGGGACCGAACGGGTCCTACGTAGAGCGAGAGCGGACCCAGCAGGCATACATATTTTCTTTTGGCGAGCACCAGCTGAAATTGGGATCCGTATCGACGCAATAGCGCAGCATAGAGAAACACGCCGCGGCGGGAAGCTCGTTCGCTCCGCACTCTCGACGTCATTTCGCCCCTGCGCTTTCCCGAGGCTCGTATTTACTTAAAACAACGCGCTTGAATGCGTCGATGGACGAGCCTACGACCGACTGCTTTGCCAGGTAGTCGGTAGTGGCAGCGCGGTGGAAAACTCCATGATCTGACATGAATATCGGAACCTCGATACAGCAATCCATCACTTGGAGGGCAACGAGTCTACGCGCTGCATGAGCGGAGAGCGTCGCGACCGACGTCCGTTCAGCTCGCTGTTCCTCGAGTACTTTCCGTCGGAAATTTTCGACCGATCGTTGCGGAACTCCTGTTCACGGAAATACGATTATCACCAGAATGCTCCTCCCATATGAGTTGATGTTTAGTTTACATTCCTCCTTCGATTCCGATTTTGATTCTGCTGTCCCGACTGATGAGTTCTGATGGAGAAATAGAGTATTACCGAACTGGGAAGTTTGGGAGCGTCGCTGAGAGTCAGAATCCCTTCCTCTGAGCGTGGACGGCGATTCCGGGAATTCCGCTCGCGACTCCCTCCCTCCGATCAACCGATCGAACAAGACAGCGATCTCCGAGAAACAGCTCGTCGGACAAAGACCAAGATTGACATCGATTTGGAATTCCGGAACGAGCCCCTCTCAGTGGGATGGAGCTTTGTCATTAGCGGGACAACTTCTCGCGGCCGAAGTACGTATATTCCGAAACGATATACGACACAGCGTCAATCAGTGATCTGTTTGTCCGGAGAACAGCGCCGTGCGAATGAACACAGGGGCGGCGACCAATCCGCTCACACGAAAACGAGTGGACTCTATCCTGTCGAGTAGAACAACAATGCAGCGAGGCTTCCATCGGACGGGGCACTCATCGATGCGGCGGGAGGGGCGGCAGTGTTATTCCGCAAGCCCC